TTTTTTTTTTTTCGAGAAAGGGTTTCTCTGTGTAGCCCTGGCTGTCCTGGAACTCACTCTGTAGATCAGGCTGGCCTCAAACTCAGAAATCCGCCTGCCTCTGCCTCCCAAGTGCTGGGATTAAAGGCGTGCGCCACCACCGCCCGGCGAGATACTTCTCTTGACTAGAGAGAGTCTCTAGGGGTGTGCTAACCCAAGCTGATCCCCAAAAGCTTTTTAGAAGTTCATCAAGTTACATGATGCTCTCCGGTGTGAGTAGCAACATATACTCTGTCACCCAGGTGTCCCCTCAGTGCTGACCTGCCAGCTTAGGTGAGTGTGAGGCTGAGGCAGGTGACTAGTCATGCTGGACACAATCTGTCACTCCAGCTTAAGGTAATGATAAACATAAGCTGAATACTTTGTGAAACTTGGGGAATGGGAGTTATCAAAAAGCATTTTGCTGAAGGAGTAAATGTAGGGTAAGTTTTTAACATCTTCTAACTTCTTTAGAAAGTCGGTCAGATGGCGTTTTGCTGGAGTAACACATGAAGTAACGTACCATCAAAGTGGACATGGGTGTGAAAGGTTAAGGCAGACATGAAGGAACGTTTGACTGAAGCAGACACTGGAGAGAGGATGTTCTGCTAAAGCAAGCATGTGAAAGGACACGTGATGAAGGATTCTTTGCTAACAACATGCATGTATTGGTCCTCCTTATACTGTGTAGTTGAGCTGCATTTGTCGGGACTCCAAAGAGAGAAATGCACCAAAAAACTCCTGGTGTTGTGCTGCGGTTTGCTGCCGCTTCCAAGGACTCAGGCTGATTGGATGCACTGGCTGAGGCAAAACCCATGCTGAGGCAAGGCGCGTGGAGGACATGTCCTGTTTGGAAGGTATAAATAGGACTCCACGGAGTGATGGAGACAGAGCTAGGCTTGCTGGTACAGCTAGCTGTGCAATGCTTGTGGGTCTCGTGTTTTTGCTGGTTTTTGCTTCCCTGAGAGAGGCACAGCTGAGAACTTCTCCTGGTGTCCCTCCGGGTCCCTCCTGCTGACTCGAGCCAAGGCTGAGACCTGGCTGCCTTTGCTAGGTCATGTCACTGCTGTTGTTAACCCAACTCTACCAAACTGGACTGCTGGTGTATCTGTGAGGTGTTTGTAAGTGGTTAGCTGCCACTGCCTGCTGACCAGTGAACTGAACCGCTGATTTCTAGACAACACAGGTGGGCGTTGCTCCGAAGAACCTTTCTAAGCAGGCCTACTTTCCCCGTATCCTTTCTTTTCTAACACCTCTGGTTGGTGGTGGGCTACAAGGAAGGTTAAAGTGTTTAAGAGCCATCAATAGAAATAGGATTTCAAAGAAATTAAAGTTACAATCTTGACAGCATAGAGGGGAGGTTTGGAAGATGACACTTTGTCTGTTTCTAAGTCACTGTTCTACTTTAGAGCAGTGAATACTCCAAGTGATATACAGTGTAGTATATAGTACACAATGCACTCTCACGCACACATACACACACTCATACATGCACACTCACACACTCCACACACACACACGCACACACTCTGAGGTCGGAGTGCTTAAAGAAAGAACAATGCTGAAGGTTGCTGATGTACTTAAGGGTCTAAGCAGAAGTGTTTGGAGCTGGTTTAGTTTTTTTTCTTTTGTGTGTTTCCACTCTTATTTTAAATCAATCATGTCATTTCCAATCTTAACTGAGACATCTGGAACCACTTCCATGTTCCCACAAGTCAACCGATCCTCTCCTATCTTAAGGCCTCTAATCGTTTGAGACCTAACAATAAATAACCCAAGCTGACATTTTCATGTCTCAGATTAGGTGGCCTAGATCCAGAAAGAGCATCCTTGATCCTGGGCCTTGTGAATAGACAGACTAAGGGCTTCTCTGTCATGTTCCACCAATGGTAATGCCATGTCCCTGCCATACCCCTTGGGACATCAGAATGTGTCACTAGCAAAATGGATTTCAGATATGACTAAGGCTGAGTACCTCAAGAGGAGATTTCCCTGAAGTCTGGGTGGACCAATCAGTGACAAAATTCCTCAGAATAGTGGAAGAGAAGACCTAAGGAGTTGACCTGCAGGATGAAGGTAGGACAGAGTCCTGGTGGGAGGGATTTGGACTCACCCTTGATGTCTTTGATGTCTAGGAAGGGGAACAGAGTGAGAAGTACGGGTAGCCCTCAGCAGTTACAGTAGCCTTCAGCCAACATGCTGTGTGAACAGGAATGGACCATCTTTACTGTCTCCAGAAGGAGCCTGGGCCTGCCTGGCACCCTTCTCTGAGTCTCCTGAGGCTCATGTCAGACTTCTCACACATGCCGTAGCACTAGCAGAAAGCTAATATGGTTTCAGTGGTGATGATGGATTCCTTCCCCTTTCAGAACATTCTGGCTCACAGATGTCATAGAGAAGGTTCTAGAAGAGTTTCTCATGGAGCAGGATCGATGGTGTAGAAACTCTTGGGTGAAGACAAATGAGTTACTAAGAAATTGGCATCTGAGAAAGCCCAGGGGACCCAGTGTTGGCAGAGTACCCAGCCTCCAAGCCACGTGGACTCCCTGCCAGGCTGATAGGTGGGCCTTTGTGGGCAGGAGCAGAGACAGGCAGAGGGCATACGGCTGTCGAGCACATTTGTCAGCAAAGTCCCCTTTTGGTCATCTGGAGACACATTTTGGAAGGGTAAGCTTGCTCATTCTTTCAACAAGATCATTGAAAACCAGCAAGGTACTGGACACTGGCCTCTGGGGAGGTGACAGCGTCAGGCAAGCTTTCAGCATGAGACAGAGGCCATAAGCAAGAAAACAAAACCAACACAGTGACTGCCGTTAGGGTGTATTACAAAGACAACCAAGCCACCTTCCTCAGTGGGTCAGTGGCCATGGTTAATACTATGGTCATTGGAGTAGTCATGTAGGTGGAAGAACAACTGGCCCAAAGGACCCGTGGTGGGATTGGTGTGGTCCAGTGAATGCATTCAGGGAGCCCATGGAAGAGCAAATGGGGAGAAAGGGTTGGGGGTGGCCTGGGGTCAGACTGAAGAGGGACTCAGGGGCCAGATCAGAAGGAACTGGACAAATGGTACATGGGAAATGTTGTTGGAAACCTGTAATTAGTCAGAGATGGTGGTGACCCGGGGGCAGGGCAGTGGCAGACAGGCAGATGAGGGGTGGCTGTGCTTTAGAACGGCGTCCACGTTCCTGCTGAATTAACTGCTGGAGGGAGAGAGGGAGGAGCTGAGACAGTGCCTAGCCCGGGAAACACCAATGCTTCCTGAAATACTGTTTGCACGGCTGGAAAATGTCAACATGGTCTTTCTCCTTGTGCATAGAAATTCAGTTACTAATGAGGACCAAGGGTGTGCAACCAGGACTCAGAATGAGGCTGTCCTGAGCATGTAGTGCTTGCTCTACTGAACTCGTTCTCTCAGCACAACTAGGCAAGGAGTGTTTTCCTCTGTGTGACAGGCAAGGGCACTGAAGCACAGAGAAGTTGAGTAACTTGTTAAGGTCACTGCTGGGGTCACTGCCATCCCAGCTGCAGAGAGCAACGCAGCTATTAAGACCCAGGCTATCTGAGAACAGGGTACCACCTCCTGAGACAGTGGTCAGGTATGCAACTAACCACACAGCAGAATTAAACATGTTTGTCACCTTTGCCCCACTTAAAGCTTTCATGTAAGCTATTAGAGCATGGTAGAGGGCAATTTAATTCTTCAGAGGACATTTTGCTCATTACAGATGGGACCAAATGCCTAATAACCTAAAGATGGAAAGATTTGTTTGTGGCTCTGGTTTGGTGGTACTGTCCACCAAGGTGACTTGTCACATCTATCTGCAATTAGGAAGCAGAGAACAGGAAGTGGGGCTGGTGTCACCTCTTGAAGGCTCTAAACCTTCTGGAAACAGCATCAGTGCCTGGGCCATTGGTTCAAACCTAAGAGTCTAAGGGCAACAGTTCACACCTAAGCCACCCTCTGGGTATGTGCCAGATCTCCAATACACAGAATAATCCCCAACCAAGAACCTTCTACACCATGGCTGCAGGCTCCAGGAAGAGGGGACTGTCACCGGGAGAGCGTACCTATGTGTGAATGGCAACACAGCAGCCTGAGGTGATTGTCCAGTGCTCTGTAGTGACAGAGTGTGGGGCACACTGGGAGGAGGCTAAACCCTGCTTTCCAGTCAGATATTCTGTTTTGAGGCATGGGACAGCAACCAAAGCTAGGGTTCTCATTCCCTAGGGGTCTTAAAGGGACTGTGGGCAGCAAAGTCTGGGCAGGGGAAGGGAGACCTCAGGCAGGGCCAGTCAGTCTTCAGGAGTTGTACCAGGGGTGGGGGCCAGTGGGTGCAGAGTGGCCTGTGGGGATGGTGTATATGGGGACGCTGTGTGTGTGATCTATGGTTAGGGAAGGTCTGCGTTCAAAGACACCAAGGTGAGACTAGTGGGTGTATAGTGAAAGGGGCGTGGCTCTTGCAAACAGGCCCAAGCAGGGTGTTCTGTGAACGAGGAGCCAGCAATGTCCCAAGGTAACATCGTGTGCATTTTGGGTGCCATTGCTCAGCTGCGCTTGAAGATGGCAGCATGGGCCTGTGCCGGCGAAAGGTTTAAGTGGTCACTGCAGAAGCGGAGGACGTGAGGTCAGTTATCTGAGAGACCACCCATCATTGCAGACTAGGAAGTGGAGGCACTGTGAGGCCAGTGGCTTGTCCTCTGGCGCTGTCCCCTGTGTCGACAGCCAGGGAGGTCAGTGGAGATTGCTAACAGAAAACCTGGCATGAAGACTGTTGAGGCCACAACTGGGGACACAGTACAGACTAAAAAGACGTCAATGGAAGTAATTCACCAGAGCAGGAATGGCTGTGCTCAGCGACATACATACAGTGAGCCGTCTCCCTCCCCCTTCTCCTCTTACTCTGTTTCTTCTTCCTCTTTCTCATCCTCTTTCCTTCCATCTCTTCCTTCTTTCGTTGTTCTTCCTGACCGCCTCCCTTCAGTGCCTCTCTTTTCCCTGGAAAGTCCTGTGTCCCTATGACCTTGGAAGGAGCTGCCTGAGACTCTCCGTTCAGCTAGCATCCGCAGCCCTGAGCCACCAAAGCCTGGAGAAGATGCAGCTGTACCTGGTGCTTCTCCTCATCAGCTACTTGCTGACTCCGATCGGTGCTTCCATCTTGGGGCGCTGCACAGTGGCTAAGAGACTCTATGACGGGGGCTTGCATTACTTCGAGGGTTACAGCCTTGAAAACTGTGAGTACGGACCCTTTCAGGCCCTCTCTCCTCACCTCCTTGATCTCCAACCCCTGCCATCTCATCCCCTACTACCAGCCTCTTCTCACACCACACGCTGTTCCACCTCTTAGGGGTGTGCCTGGCTTATTTTGAGAGCAAGTTCAACCCCTCAGCTGTCTATGAGAACTCACAAGATGGCTCCACCGGCTTCGGCCTCTTTCAGATTCGTGACAGTGAATGGTGTGACCATGGCAAGAACCTCTGCAGCGTGTCCTGCACTGGTGGGTCCCTTTCTCTCCAGTCCCTCGGGGCACAGGAGGCTGCAGAACCTCCATGTTTGGAGGAGACAGGGAGAGGGGACTGGCTGTGTCTGAAGCTCGTCCCTGGGAGGGGAAGTGCTAGCCTAACAGGAGCATGAGAGAAGGATGTGTTAGCCTGAGAAGGAAGAAAAGATAAAAGCCGATGGGCCCAGAAGGTGCTGGGATGTCTGGGAGTTGGGAGCAGGGGCAGGCAACAGAGCTCAGGCAGCTTGAGAGTAGGAAGATTGCTCTGTCTGGTCCTATGTCACCCATGCATGTCCACTAGCTTCCCTAAGGGGAGCCATACTGTCACCATGACAGATCAGAAGTGGTTGTAAGGAGGAGACAGGAAAACCCCAAAGAGGACATATCTGCCTCTCCTAAGGGACCTAAGAATCTCTGGCTTAGACGAAGCAACTGGCCAGGGTCCACTCCTGTGTCCTGTGAGCTTCAGGGAGCTTTGTCAAGAGTTTTCCTAAGACCTTGGCAGGTTGTCAGTTCAGTTAATGCTCACAGCGGCCTCTCAGACATAGGTACTGTTTCTACCCAATTCTACAAACAGGTAAATCGGGGCCCAGATACATCAAGTCCACATCCAAGGCCACATGGCCGATGAGTGGAACTGGAGGCAGACAAATGAAAAGTGGGTCCCGAGTCAAGGCTACACCAAGAGGCTAGGCAAGGCATCCCTGACACCTGAGGGGTCTCTGCAGCAGAGGGTCTAGGTCCCAGCATCCTTGGGCCTCAATAAAGAGAACATTTCCTTTTACCCTGATTGATGAGGAGTGTCTAGGGTTTTCAGCCTCTGTAAATGACAGACTGTGAGGGCGAGCAGTGGGAAGGGAGGTTGTAGGGTGGAGTGATACGCTTGCTGTCATCAGATGCCACAGCATCAACCCATTCTACTTCCTTCGTAGCTTTACTGAATCCAAACTTAAAGGAGACGATCGAATGCGCCAAGAAAATCGTGAAAGGAAAACAGGGGATGGGAGCATGGTAAGTGGGTGTCTGCAGCTCACACTGGAGGCTGAACAAGGCTGTGACCAAATGCCTGGCAGAAGCAACTGAAGGCAGAAGAGAACTCATGCATTCTGGCTCACAGTTTGAGGGGCACAGTCAGTGTGGCAGGAGTGTGTGAGGTGCCTGGCCTCATGAGAGTCACAGTCAAGGTGTGACAAGAGGTGTATGATAGTTCTCAGCTGTATTTTCCTTTTGGTCAATCTGTGGGCCAGTGCTGCTTACATTCTGGGTGGGCGGTCCCTGCTCAGTGGAATCTCCCTGGAAGCATTCTCACAAAGTGTGATTCACCATCATAGCTCACATCAATAACACACACTTTTTTTCTGTCTGTCTGTCTGTCTGTCTGTCTGTTATCTGTTTTCTGTACATGTGTGCATGTGTGTGAAGGCTTGGCATTGATGTAAGCCGTCTTCCTCACTTACCCTTTCCCTCATTTTTGTGAGACAGGGTTTTTCATGGAACCTGAAGTCTGCTGATTCAGGTGGATTGATTGGCCAATGAGCTCCATGGATCCCCTTCTTTTGTGCCTGCTCCCCGTTTCTGAACTTGGGTTCTCATGGTTGCACTATGAGCACACCTTTACTGACGTAGCCTGTCTCAGAGATCCGAATTTTTATCTTTTAGTTCTCTTAGAAACTTTTATTTTATGTGTGGATGTTTTGCTTGTATACATGTGTATGTCCCATATGCGTGTCTCACACCCTTGGAAATCAAATGAAGTGATCGAAGCTCCTGGAACTGGAGTTATGGATGGTTATGAAGCACCATGTGGGTTCTGGGAACTGAACTTAGGTCTTCTGAAAGAGCAACCAGTAGTCTAAACTGCTGATCTCTCTCTTTAGCCCCCTGAGGGTCAGACCTTTTTATTACTGCTTTTTTTTTAAATTGTGTTTGCAAGGTCATGTTGAATTTAAACTGCAGCCTGTAGCCCTGTGTCTAGTACTTGTGTGATACTATCCTGGGGCAATGTGAACAAATGTCTACTTACCCAAACAGGTCAAAGTAAAAATGCTGTCAAAGTCCAGCTTGGCAAACCAATGACTTTCTTAATGTTACTTTAGGTACAGGGACAGCTCAAAGACACTGTAACATCAAGAAGCCTACCCCAATCTTAGTGTGGACTCATTAAAGCTGTAAACCTGGAGTGATGTGTGCCTTGTAGTCAGATGGATAGGTTGGAATCTCCTCCCCAAGAAGCTGTTCATGACTTCTGTAACCTTGGAAAAGGAGAAGCCTTGAGAGTCTTGTAAGTTTCAGGGACTTTCTGAGACTTGTGAATTGTTCATTTCCTAGCTCTTAAGAAGCCTCCTTCTGAGAATGGAAATGTTTTAATTCAGAGGATGATCATTGAATACTGCCATATTATACCATTTTAAATTATACCATGTTAAATTTTAATTTATACATCTATCTGGCCATTATTGCTGTTTTAAAGAATTCTGTTGTAAACATTCAGCATTTTAGAACTTGTATGTTCTTTCAAGTGTCTGCTTGGGAGATCTCCTGCAGGAAACATTTTAGGACTATTTGGTGTATTAAAAAAGCTGGAGATAAACTGGGCTTGGTGGTGCATGCCTACAACCCCAACTTTCAAGAGGCAGAGGCAGTAGGATCATGAACTTTAGTTCAGCCTCAGCAACATAGTGGGATTGAGGTTAGCCTGTGCTATATGAGACCCTATTTAAAAATAAAGCAAAACAAATAAATGAATAAATACAAGCTGGAAAGACATGGTGAACTGCCATTTGGATCTTGTCTCACCCCACCAGGATGCTTGCATTCCCTCTGCTCAGCAACTAAGGAAACCACAAACTCTGGCACTGTCATGGAAAATAGCAAAGTGTAAGACTGTTGTTTTGCACTTTGTGTTTTTAGCCACAAGAAAAAGTGATTGTCCTTTCATATGTCCTGGTTAAGTTTCTATAAGGTGCTTACTCATATTTTTGTCACTGCTTGCAATCAAATCCCTGTCAGGAAGTAGCTTAAGGAGAAGAAGTTTACTTTGAGGACTCTGTTCATTATAGTTGGAGGGGTAAGGCAGTGTGGGTGATGTTGTTTGCTCACATGTCTGCAGATCAGGAAACTTAGCGGGGAGAAATGTAGGTACTCTACTAACTGGCTCCTCCCCTCCTCTGCTTTTTCAGTTTTGTACACCAGCCTGTAGCGTGGTTATCACCTGTGTTCAAGGCAGGATTTACCATGGTCAGTTAAACCTCTGGAAAGCCCTTCACAGGCACTCTAGTGTGTCTTAAGATGACTCTAAACCCAGTCAGACGGACCACCAATATTATCCACTATCTTATGTTTTCTTTCATTCCTACCAACTATTTTAAGACTAAGAAATATTTTTAAGTGTGTGTGTGTGTGTGTGTGTGTGTGTGTGCAGTCCCTGCAGAGGTTAGAAAAAGGCACTGTGTTCCCTGGAGCTGGAGTTCCAGGCAGTTGTGAGCTGTTTTGTGGTTGCTGGGAACTGAACTCTGGTCCAGTATATACTTTTAACTACTGAGACATCTCTTGAGACCCTTCTTACATAAGCAATGCGTCCTTTATAGACTAGGGATGTGAAATCTTCATCAGCCACATCTGTGCAAGTTGTTGTCTTGGATTTGTCATTTGTATTTTGACTTTGTTTCTGGTGTCTTCATGGTAAAGGAGACCTAACAGTTTCTTAGAATCAAATATGTCTGTCTTTTCTCTTGTGGTTTCTGGATCTGTGTGAAGCCCCCTTCTTAGAAATGTCTTTAAGAATGGAGGAGATGGCTCAGTTGGTAGTGTATTTGCTGGAAAGCATGAGGGCCTGACTTTGATCCCCAGAACCCATGTTTAAAAATTAGTTAAGTGTGGTGACATGCATTTGTAATCCCAGGGCTGGGGGAGGTAGAGATGGATAGAATCCTGGGCCTCACTGGCCAGCCGCTTCAGACCAGTAGGGACCCTATCTCAAGAAACAAGGACCATGCTTGAGGAACAATGCCTGACTGGATCCTTTGGCTTCCATATGCATGCATGCACACACACATACATACAAACAGGTGGACCATGCTTGAGGAACAATGCCTGACTGGATCCTTTGGCTTCCATATGCATGCATGCACACACACATACATACAAGCAGGTGGACCATGCTTGAGGAACAATGCCTGACTGGATCCTTTGGCTTCCATATGCATGCATGCACACACACATACATACAAGCATACACACATAAGTGTGCACACCATACACATGTACATCTGTGCACTAGTGCACACACAAGTACACATGAATTAGAGGTATTTTATCCTAGAGGCTTCAAAGAACTCCATCCATGTTTTCTCATATCGGGGCTCTGCAGACAGCACATAAGCCCTAGATACTTTTACTAAATTACAAAATAGAATTTTTACGACTTTTGTCCTTTTGTGCTTAAAGTTTGGATTCCTTTGGAATTGATTTGGTTGTGAAAAGTGAGGCGGGCAATAAAGGTCTTTGGTTCTTGCAGTGTCTACTCAGTGTTGTCCACATCATGAATCCAGTAAAGCAGCCTCATGGCTAACAGAACAGATTGCACACAGTGGTGGAAATCTTGTTAATGATAACTGTCTCCTGAAAGTCTGAGGTTCATTTCATACGTGGCCTGGGCTTTCTGATTAATTGGTCAGCTTGGCTGAGTCTCTAGGAGAAACACTAATGAGCTGAGTCATCCTTGTTGTGTGGTACTAGGAAGCACGATACTGAGCCATGCTGGCCGAGGGGCCCTATCGTCCAGACTCCTGGTAAGGCAGGTTCTTAGTAAGCTGAACAGCAGCCATGTATCCTTTATAGCTCAGACTGAGTCACTCTGCTCTGCTGGGTGGACCAAAGAAAAGAGAAGGTCCCTACAGTGGAAGGGGAACCCCTTCCACACCATCTGCCTGAAACTTCATGCTTTCTCTCCTGGCCATTTAATTCCCAGAAATAATGACTCTGAGACTAATTTTTCTTTTTAATAAATGCCTAGGTATAAGCTGTGGGACAGTGGGCTGTGAAAGGCAGCTGGGTACCTGGTAAAGCATAGGCCTCAAATCCCGGACTCTAATGGGACAGTAGGTGTTCGGCTCTGCTCCTGGGGCCCTGGTTTCTTTCACTTAGCTTCAGCCCTCCACAGCCCTTCCCACAGAGAGGTCTATGGCCATCAGTCAGGTAGGAACAGTGCCTCAGGCTCTTCCACATGTAGATGAGGTATCTCCAAGCTCTCAGACCAAGCCAATAGGGGTTATCTGCTGTAAGACCCTAACCCACCGCAAAACTGTATATAAGAACCCTATTTGGGGGAAGTAAAGGTGTGTGAGAATCATTCCGTTGTCTGAGAGTTTCTGTCGCAAGAGCTGTAACACTTGGGAAGAGATCTGCTCTCCCAAAGAGCCTTCAGGACCCTCCCCTCCTTGCTAGTTAGCTGGCATCTCACCGGCCCAGACCAGACCAGCTCAGCACAGAGAGACAGGTGCAGCACCTGGGAGTAACTGGGTGACACCAGTGGAGATGCGGGTAGAGGCAGCAGCAGAGGCAGTGAAGGTGATTCCCCCTCCCTGCTCCCACTCTATCCCCTTGGCCTGGACCCCACCCCCAGCCAGACTGGAGATCTTTGTGGGAAGCCCTCTGGAACACGGACCCACAATAAGCTTCACCTTGTTCGCTTTCTTGCTCTTAACTTGTTTTCCCTTTTATCCTAACCTGGGTTCAGTGACAGGGCTGGTTTCCTCTCCCTGTCTTCTTATGTCTGTATCCTCAGAGTTTCTGGCATGCATGAATCTCTCACACTTCTATTTCCCAGAATCCTCTCTATTCCTGTCAGATGTCCCACCTCCTGTTTTCTTCCTCAGCTCATTGGCCATAAGCTGTTTTATTGACAGACGATGCTTATAAGATATTCTCTCTACATTGCCCTGAGCTATGAAGAGCCTTGGGGTTTCTGAGAATGTGAATGTGTGTATTTTCTGGAGCTTCGTAGCTATAAGGGACCAGGGGACCTCTTTCTACTATGGGTCCCCCATCCTGCTAGTTTGAGGAGCAGGACTGCAGATGGGGTACCGACTCAAGTCCAGGAGTTGGCACTAGAGACGGGAACTGGAGGAATACTGTTAGGGACATCTGGAGAAGTGGTTAGAGGTTCAGTCCAGATACTCCAGGAAGGGTGGAGAGGAAGAAGGAATTTTAGATGCTATAGAATGAAGGATGCACACAGAGGGATGGAAAGAGCCCGAGGCCATGGACACTCCCTGGGGCCCTGTGCTAGTCAGAGAACTCTGAAGCTGTCTTAGAGGACTGGGGTGCTCTGGTTGGGTGGGGTTCCTGTGTGAGGCAGGGACAGTGTGGGTATATCACCCTGCATCCAGGGTGAGTGCTAAGAACTTCAAACACCTGAGTTCCACAAGGGAGAGACTCAGATATCCCGGGGCCAGCCAGGCAGGTGTGGGTAGCATGGCCCTGGGGACCCCTAGCTCTGACTACAAGGAACTGCTACTGATCACTCTGGCCTTCCCTCTGCAGGCCCGTCTGGTCAAAGAACTGCCAGCTGTCTGACATTCTGGATCGGTGGCTGGATGGCTGTGATCTGTAGGCACCTGAGTGGCCCTGCCTCACTTGCCAGCCGAGTCTCGGGACTGAGGATGCTTTTCTGTTTGCTGCTTCAATCCATCCAGTTACCTCACCGCTGACAGCTCCAGATGGAAAAGGATGACAGTCCTCACTTCATCCAGGGGTTCAAGGTGCAGAATAAACCAGCTAATTACTCAGCCTGGGCCTGAGGTCTCCGCCTACGTTATTATATCACGAGCAGTATGGCCGCGATCACTAGTCACCACTTTTGTGACTTATCATTTCTGATTCTCAAGGGAAGGGTGTGAGAGCTGGGGTGTCAGCCTGCAGCAGGCAAAGGAGGAGGAGACACAGTGGAAGCTGAGAGGAGCCACAAAAGTAGAGAAGCTGGGCAAATGGCTTCTTCAGAGCCAGCTCGGCTGGACATGGAGTCACCTAGGAGACACACCTTCTGCCATGTGCTTTTGAGGGGTTAGGGTTACTGTTTGAGCTCTTGGTTGTGCCTCCTTTAAGACAGTACAGGCGCTTCTGTGCCTGTTCTGGGGCCCACCCTTCTCTCATTTAAAGATGACACATAATACACCTTTAGATGAAGAAAGCTGGGAACACAGATAAAGAAGGTTATTAAAAATACTCTGCCCTCACAGTAAACAGGTTGTCATTGCTGCGTTTTGTATTGCTCTGGAGCCCATGCTGAGAGAGCCTGTGGACCCTTAACCTTTTTGTGTGTCTCATTCCTGACTTTGAGGGTCCATGTGTGCATGCCCATATCCTTTTTTCAACTCACAAGCACAGGCCACTATTGAATATACAGTATTATAGCTTGCTTTTTCTACTACTAATTTGTGCCCTAATATTTTCAGGTCTATATCAGGATCCTTCCTGTATCCCATTAGATAGGCAAGCTTTAATGCGCATAATCCTGTATTGTTTAACCTACAGATAAATTAAGCAGGCTGAGCAGTCAGTGGCCGCCTTAAAGGCAAGCCGCACAAAGCAGGCAGGCCCTGGCTCCCGTTTGCTGTAAACTAGAACTTCTGGAGCAAGCTTTCTGTCGAGCTCAATGCTGATGGATCGGTTGGGTCTCGAGCTTCTGCACGGTTCCACCTTGTCTCTGAAAAGAAGAATCCTGGTGTTTCCCAGACACAGAGCGTGAATCCCAGTTAACTGACCCCAGTAACAGCAGAAGCTTTTGAGACATTGAGTGAAACTTTATTATTGAGATTTGGACCTGGCGTTGTTTCCACATGTGGACTCAAGAGCACCAGCGCCTGGTTGCAGCCCGATGCTGCTGTAGACATTAGGGACGCCTGAGATTATCAGTACACGATCATGTCAAGAGGAAACCCAGCTGCCGCCTCCTTCCAGCCCATTACTTCCAAGGATGTTCATCAGTCCCTAATGGGCTCTGTGTCAACAAGGACGTGAAGCTCAGGGGGAAAGCAAATGTTAGGGTATTGATGGCACCAGCGTTTCCCAACATCACTCCTGGCCTGGTGCCCTCCAGCTGGCTGGTAACAATGAACATTAATACCTCAGCCAGGACCCCTGATCCTGCTTCCATCGTCAAAGCTGTATAAGGAAATGTCCCTTTCATAGAGCTATGTCATTACGACTTCTAGTACCGACGATTACTATAGAGATCCCGATTTCACAGGCTGCACAGGACCCTTCCCTCACCCGGATCTCCAAACTTCTCCAAACCTTAGATGCTAAATTTGAATTATAACAGTCTTACAGGTGACAAAACAGCTCCGGAGAGGTGGCATAACTTAACTTTAATCCAGTAAACAACGAGTATGTGTTGGGTATCTCCTTAGAACCCACGTCCCATACACCTCTCTTGTTGAAAATATTTAATCCCAATCTGGGGCTTCTATGTCGACTTTGATCATTCAGTTCCCGGATAAAAGCCACACACACCCCCTTATATATATAGTAAGCCTTTATTAACACTAAGGCTCAACAGATATCTACCCTCTATGCTATTAAAATCCATTTTCTATCAATAACCCTGTACTACCATGTCTCATCTGGACTGCTCTTAGCTCCTATTGGCCAACCCTCCTGGCCAGGCTTCCTTGACTCCTAACCCATGGTGCCTTTCTCCTCTCTCCACCTTCTTTTTCCTCTCCTCATGGTCTCCTCTGACCCCAAGCCCAGGAATACCAAACTCCGCCTCTCAATTCTGCCCAGCTATAGGCTGTAGGCATTTTCATTCACTAGTCAGAAATTGGGGACAAGGTCATGAGTCTATACGCAGACTCTCTCATCTCTGAGGAAACCAGGCCTTAGGGTCCTGCACTTAGAATGACAATACTTAGCAACAAACTGAACCTCAACACACCTCTCCCCCAAACTCTGCAATTATATTGCTGTTAATTCTCTGTCTCTGTCTCTCTGTCTCTGTCTCTGTCTGTCTGTCTCTCTCTCTCTCTCTCTCTGTGTGTGTGTGTGTATGTGTGTGTGTGTGTGTGTATGTGTGCCCATGAGAGCTCATATGAATGCACATATATGCATGTGACTGTTCCTGAGGGTTCACGTGTGTGCCTGTGCATGTGAATTCACGTGTGTGCATTTGAAGGTTAGGGACAACCTTGAGTATCTGGGTGCTGTCTTTGAGGCACTGTTGTCTTTTTTTAGAGGGTTTCTCACTGGCTCAGAACTTGGCAAGTAGGCTAGGCCGGAGGGCCACTGAGCCTCAATTCCCAGGCAGAGCAGCTGGTATCACAACACCGTTTTGAAGGAAGATGTGATTTTTATCTTTAAGTTTCAAAAGTAGTCAATGGACACTCCATTTCTATGAGACACTCCATTTATGTGACTACATCTCAAAAATATGGGCTCACACAACTTGGAAACATTTACAGCTACAGTTTGTGCTGGTTTATAGGAAGCTGCTTCTCTCTGACCTTGTTAGGTGCCAGCAAGGGGTTGTTGTGCTTACAGCACGTGGCTCCCTGGAAAACCAGGTGAGTCCTGAGTTCCCTGCACAGAAGCTGGGCTCTGACTGGAGGCAACATGTTTCTTTTTGTTTCTCTTCATCGACTGGAGAGCAGTCTACACTGAGATGTACAAATGTTTCTTTGTATGAGATACATCCTGGGTGCTCTATGAAACTTATGTCAATAAATTCCTCACCAGGCCCTTGTGAAGCAAGCATTTGGAGTCCAGCATTTCCTAACCTGGGGAAGGGTATTTTATCTCTCTAAATTTTGCTTCTACCTTCTGCAAAATGAGAATAATAACAACATTCCATTGGGCGTGAAGACTGATGAAGCATCACGCTATAACTTCCAGACAAACTCCTCCGACATCCATCTTGTCACCTTGACTAGATTTAGAACCACCTAGAAGATTCAGCTCTGGGTGTCCCTGTGAGGGCATTTGCAGGGAGGCTGAGAAGGGAAAGACTGCGCTGTATGAAGGCTGCACTCTCCCATGAGCTGGAGTCTTGAACTAAATAAACAGGAAGGAAGCAGAAACAGCTGAGCCCAGAGTTTCTTCCTCCATGTTTTCTGGTTCCTAAGGAAGTAAGGTGAGTGTCACCAAGAGTTATTTCTACCATCGTGACTGGCTGTACCCTTAGACCATGCACTACAACAAACCTTCCTGCTATAAGCTGCTTCTTGTCACAGCAATGAGAAAGTAATTAGCAGAATGATGGGAAGAGAGACTTCAGAGACCCAATGAGAAAGGGACCTCCATGCGGGCAAATAGGACAGGACTATGGCTGGAGGGAGGGGTGGTTAAGTGCCTGTGGCAGCAGCGATCTGAATGGCCCCCCACTTGGATAAAGTAGAAATGGCTTCTCTCCAAGAACATGCAACAAGGGAGCTGACCTGATGGGCCATGCCTTCTGGCATCTCACCTCCAGATGGAAGAGAGTTCCTGACTGTCATGGCAGCAACAGAAAGCAGCACAAGCCCATGCTTGTTCCCAGTGTCTTAAAACTGCCACTTAGTGGGTGCCTTGAGGTCAGACTCAAAATGCAGCCCTGGTGACACAATCCTGCAGTGGTTCTAAGACCTCCCCAGTATCCTTGTGTTGGGACCTCAGCTCAGCCCCCAAAGCAAGGAGATGAGTTACCCGGACTTCAAGGTCTCTGCTGTTCTGAATAGACGAGTGCAGTGTTAAGAGCAGATTTTCCAGAAAGCAGGTTTTGGACAAAGCAAGCCCTCCTTCACCTCCATGCTTGCTCCTTCCTCCTGAGCAAGAAGGACCTAGGCAGGCTTGGAATTCCCTGCCTAGTAAATTCCTCTTCGCTGAAACACCACACCTCCAACATTTTGTCACAACAGAGTAAACAGGCTGAGCTGTCTTCAGAAGTGGGGAGGTTGTTAATACTTGCTAGGCTCTGAATGCAAAATGGCTCCACGCTTGGTCCTCAGTTGGAGTGCTGTTATGGGAGTTGGTGGAAACTTTAGGGGAGGGTTTAGTTGGGGGGATGTATGTTTCTGGTGGGGGAGGTGTCTTAGAAAGTTACAAATGGTCCCTTCCTTCCTCTGTCTACCCATCATCAGGTGGGTAGCCTCGGCCACATGTTCCACTATCGAGATGCTCAGCCTCATTGTGAGTCTGTCATCGACCGAGTCATGGACTGTGGGCTGACATCCCTGAAAGCATGAGCCAAAATAATTCCCCTCCTTAAATTACTTTTGACACAGCTGGGGAGACCTGGGTTCAGAGTTCTAACAACTGAGTCCACAGAGAGAGTGAGCCAGGGGAAGACCTGAAGCTGAAGTCTCTGCATGGGCCCTCCACTTCCCGATGTCCCCTCCCCATCCCTGTGGCCACTCCCCGTCCCTGTGGCCCCTCCCCTTCCCTGTGGCCCCTCCCCCTCCCTTCCCCAGGGTCTCCCATAGGGTCTCCCACAATGTCGGGAAAAGAACAAAATCTCATCCCTGCTAGGCAGGGGAATCATAGACTTGGAAAATGACAAGAAAAGACTGTGCGAACAGTCTTTTAATTAAGTTAATTTGTTAAGGACTTAATGTAGTAAGGGACATTTAAATTAGTACACTTTGTTTTCTTTAATTATTAATTTTTCCGCTGAGTTGTAGAAGCTCATAATGTAAAGAACAAGATGGGTTTAGCTGTGGAAATCAGAACCTCTTCATCTATTTCTTTCTCCTCAGTAGAGCAGCCCACATCTGACTCTTCTGCAGCAGCTGAAGGAGTTTTTTTCCAGGTGCAGCCCTCA